TTTGGTTTTCCTTTGTTCCATTTGTTCTGTTTTACACACACACACATCCACACACTGCAGTCACCACTTCAGCATGCATTATTTCTTCTTTTGGAGTATGTTTAGTTAAATAAACTATCTCTGTACCTTGAAATGGTTGTGTAGACTCTCTTTGTGTGAGCCAGGTTTGTAACAAATGGGGGCTTGTCCGGGATAAATTGTCTACTATGGTGAGTAAGAGACAGTGACTGTTGTTGTTGTATTTTGTAGCAGTAGTCTAAATTTAAGCATTGGTTTTGGAGGGAGTCTAACACATATTTAAAGGGTACATATGTGGTGAGTCAGTGTGGATTGTATTTCAGGCTCAGTTAGTCACACCAGTAGGCAGTTGTTAACCTGCCTTAGTTTTGTGTTTGCCTCTGATCTGGTGTGAATAAAACAGCCTTGTTAGTGGAACTACTTTCCAGATAGGTATTAGAGTGACATCCATTCGTGGATTTGTTGTTTTTTTGTTTTAGTTTGTTGTTTTTGTGCATTATGGCCACAGCATTTTTGCTTTGGGTGCACTTCCATGACTGTCTAGGTAGGTCGCCATTTTAATGGTTGCCTGGTTGGGTCATTGGGCTATGTGTTTAAATCTCCCACCAACACTATTGCATGAAGACTAGGGTTGAGACAGACAGCTAGTTTCCCGGTTAGGTAGTTAGCTGGGGGGGGGGGGGGGGGGGGGGGTGCCTGGGGGGGGGGGGGGGGGGGGGGGGGGGGGGGGGGGGTGTTCCACATTGTGGCAGGTTAGCCTAGAGAGTCAGGTGTGGTGGTCTCTTTGGTCTGTGTGGGTCAACTGTTGTTGTTGGTCCAATCATGTCTGCGATTGAGGATTTTTTTTGCAGAATCCCAGTGAAGGTCTGTTGAAGGCCTGCACCAAGGATCAGTTGGTAAGGGTGGCAGAGCATTTTGAGCTTGAAATCCCCAGTCAGGGATGTAAAGATTGTACCTTCTGTGTATTAAAGGATGGTTTGGTTCAGTCGGGGGTTTTGTCTGCTACAGGTAAAGGTAGTGACATCCAGTCAGTCAGTGCAGTTTCTTCTCAGGTCAGTCAGCCAGAGACTTTTGAGAGTCTCAAAAGTTTGTGAGGCCTGTAGTTGGGATTGGGGTGCCTTTAACTTTTGAACAGCAAAAAGAACTGTTGATTTTGCAGCATAAATTGGAAATGGAACAAGACCAGGCTATTCATGCGCAGGAGCATGCTGTGGAAATTGAGAGGTTGAAATGTAATGTGAGGTTACATGAAGTTGAGCAGCAGCAGGAGAAAGAGCGTCAGGAGTTTGAGCATTACAAGCTGGAATTAATCAAGAAAGGTAAGAGTGTCAATGCATGTTAAATTGTCGTCTTCACTGTAGAAGATTTTAGTATTAGATTTGTGGTCAGATGCTTGACAAGTTGTAAGTATTCACCAAATGCACCAGCTATCATTAACTCAGGCTAGTACCAGCCATTATCAGCCACAGACATTTAGCGAGCAACATGCCGTGAAAGCATGTTCATTTTAAATTAAGTAAATAAATAATACAGAAAAAGTCAAGTGAGCAAATAAACAGATGTAGCAAGCATACATTTATGTAAGTGACAGTTGTTAGTCAAATGTTGGCGATAATGCTTTGCCTGGTTGCAATTTGCTGAGAAAAAGAGTAAGAGCAGCCAGATATATATATATATATGTATGTCCTTTCTTCCTGGCAGATTTTATTTTACTTTTCCATCATTTTACTGTTTGTATTCTTGTTTATTATCCTTGCCAGACGCTGCTAGTTATTTGTGTTCATGAACTTTTCCATTAGCGTGGAAATCCAGACTCAAATCTAGAAAGATTTAGGGTCTGGCTATGAGTAATGCAAATGGCCCAACTTGAGGAGCGGCACCAAGCATGCATTTGAAAATATCACTGCACGCAATTGGATAACACTACGACCAATCAGAACAATACACGGGGTGACATATCCAGAGCTTAGCTACCAGCAGAGCTAACTGGTAGATTAGACTCTTGCCGTATCCGGTCGGCAAAACAGCAAAAACGTCCTTCTTGCAAAGGAAAGATTCGAGCGCCGTCTTCTGTTCCTCTTTTAGAGAAAAAGCCAAGTCTAACTCGTTCATTGTAGCGGCCAAAGCCGTTTCAAACAACTGGTGTTCATCCGTAGCCATCTTGCAATGTTTATCGTCATCTGTTTAGCTTGCCTCTGGCCCGCCTATATCAGATACACCGATGTGATTGGTGCAGCTCGGCTACAAGGGCATGGGTAATGAGCATCATTACTGATTGACAGAGTGACTCGCTGAGCAAATTCAAATTGTGGTCTCACGAGAACTCTGGATTTCCAGGGTACTTTTCCATCATTTTATTGTGGTTAATTCTTACAGCTTGGCTTTTGTATGGATTACACAGACAAGGTACAAAATGTTAATTAGTGAGCTTTGGAAAAGCTGCTAGTCAGATTTTTTTTAACCTTTGGACTGTGCCAGGCTAGCTATTTCCCCATTGTTTACAGCCCTTATGCTAAGATAAGCTAATCCATGCTCTGGCTCCAGCTACATACTTACCGTGCACACATGAGAGTGGTATTGATCTTGACAAGTGAATATAAGGCTGTTACCCATAATGTTGAATTATTTCTTTAATAGGGTTTGGTTAATCGTTTCAAACTGACAATTGCTTGATAGTACTTTTTGAAACTGAACATCCTCTGTTGGATGAAAGTTTTATGTTGAACATCATGAATTAACTTCAATGAACTGATCTTGACTGGGTGTAGAGGTGACAGTTCAGGCGGGGGAGAGCGGAGGAGGGACTCAGGCTGTTTTATCTGCCTGGATTATCCATCCATCCACAGAGTTCAACATCTGGTCAGAGAGACAGCAGAGATAGAGTTACTCACTGCTGACAGCAAGAGAGGCACACAGACAGAGAGGGGTGGAGTAGATTTATTTATGTAGCAAGGGTTTTTAAAAAGAAGAATTCTTGGTTTATGACTAAATATCTATAAATTGGCAATTGAGCACCACCAATTCATGTCCAATAAAACTTCTTGTTTTTGCCACTGACAGGCTCAGATTGTTGCTGTGAATGTCTGACACTACAGAAAAGATCCCTGCAGAGATAGACCTGATTGTAAGAGAGTAAGATCCTGTTTGTTTGACCAGAAACAGCCCCAAAATCGCTATCCCCAAACCCACCAGACTCCATTTAAATTAACAGTAATTTTAGTGTGTATAGAACCAGTGTATTTACACATCTAACTGGGTGAAATAAGGGTTTATCTCAACCAAACCAGAGTTGGTGATTTTTGAAATAGTAGTTAAGACACACAAGATGGGTATTGTGAGTTTTATTGTGCTTCTGTCAACTTTGAATGAGGTGTGTTTTATGATGATAAAATTACAGTTTTTGTAGATGGAGTCTGGTCTGACAATGGCAATTTTGGGGTAAAACAAAAACAAAAAGGATCTTACTCTTAAACAAAGACATCCATTAGCTGTAGTGATCCTTTCCATAATGTTGTCAGACAAGTAGCATAATATTTTGAGACTGCTAAGCCTCATTTCTATCAAGCAGTACGATATAGTGCAGTTCAGTTCGGTACGCTTTTTTTTCTGTTTCCACTGTGAAAAGTTGTGGATGATAACCAATCGTTCGTACGGTCCCCATTTCTGGTTTTGAGGCTCATGTAACCACTGTTCATACTGTGGAGAGTTTTATTAGTAGACTAATTAAAATGAAAGGATGTATCACTGGACTGCCGACGACTTTTAAGGTGGATCATTAACTTGTAATGTTACTCAGTGCATGAGCTGACGACGTGAATCAATCGACACACCTTGAATATTCCATATGACAACTTTGACCGTTACTATGAGTGGATCTTTAAGCGTTTATATAGACTAATTTGACCAGGTAATGTGAACTGCATATATTCTAATCCTCGCTCTTGAGAAAAAAAAAAAAAAAAAGCATCACGGAGTGTCGGGCTAAGGCAACACTAAACCCCTGAGCCTGCCTTAGAAGGACGAAATGCACAAACCTGCTATTTTTAAATATCCCGTGGAAAGAGACTCTCACTGCAGCCTGTTCTATTTTGTTCTGAGAATGTTGGCATGTAACCTCATTCTGTGGACGATAAACGAGGTGCAGACTTCCATCTGTGTCACCGGTAATGAAAAGTGAGTACAGTGAGTGCTGGAGAGGGCAGTGATGGACAACATCCCCGCCCACATTTAAGAGTACTGTTTACAATGGAAACGCTAGGGTCTAGGTACCGTGTCTGAAGGGTTACTGTTGGTTTCAAAGGCACCATACCCAAAGTGTTTGGTGGAAACAGGGCTTTAGTGACCAGAACAAGCATTCTTAGTAGGTGTACATTGAAGGTGCACAATTGCCCCACATGACCACATTGCAGGCTGCTTCGCCCTGCCGTCTGCAGCAGTCTTGCTCAGTACTGGACCAATTTCAAAACTTGTTGTCTCCATTAGTCACTTAGACACAACAACATGGGAAAGTAGGGTCCAGGTTGAGAAATACCAAAGTTGCCCTTTAACACAGGTTTGGTGTGTCTGGGCCTGGACACAGCAGACCTGTTACCTGCAGCATGGCTGAAGGTTCTTATTTAAAGTCTGCGCTTGTCTCTTGTTTCCAATAAATATGACCTAAGTATGTTGTACTTCAGGCCTGTTTAATATTCAGATAATAAAGTATGGAACAAAATTTGCTTTGGAAAAACTGTTAAAGATAAGTACTAAACACCACACATTTTTTTATTTTTTTGGCTACATTATCCATCTACATTGTTATTTTGTCAATACCCTTGAATAAAAAAATACATTTGGAACGAGCATGAGTGAGTACTAGGTAAAAAAAATTTCAGCAACAAAAAATTAGTCACGGTTTTTCAAATGAGTCATGCACTGTGCCCTAAAAGCACAAAGTTAATAGCACACAGTTAATGTTGCTCTTTGTGGTGCAGCTGTTTGAGTGGTCCGTCAATGGTTGTCCTGCAGTTAGAGGGGCGATTTGCAGTGTGTTTTATTGTGTCTCCATCTTGCCAGCTGGAAAGCAGCCATCTAAAATTGCGTTGCAGCTGCGTCTTTTTTTAGCCTCCGCGTTTTCAGCCGCTCGGGTTGGGAAAGTAGCGTGCAGTAAGTTTAGTGAATGAACACTGGTGTTTGCTGCAGGCCTCTCTGAGCTGAGACTGGAAACAGACCAGCAGTGTGTGTGCAGCGCTTCAGTTTACAGCCCCGGTGTCAACTTCTGTGTGTGACCGCCTGGTGAAGCTTGGTTTCGGGGAACGACACGCTGCGATGGACCGGTGAGACTTGCAGTGCATGGAGGGAGGAGTTCATGCAGCAAGTGCAACATTTTAGCTTAATTACTCTAAAATAAAGTCCGAGAGTAACGTCATGTTTAAGATGATGGCTTGTTAATATGTCGATGTTTTAATTTAGGGTAACGTGACATGACAGGTCAGAGCATGTTCAGATGGCTTTCATTTTAGGAATAACAACTTAAAATGCTCTATAGGCATATTATTACTTTTCTTTCCTTGTCGCTCTGAGCCAGAACATTTATCACAACTGCAAGTATGAAGTCTGGTTACTGAATAGCAGACCTGGCGGACAGGGGCGTAAATATGAACAGTGCAGTCCCGGGGCCTGTGGGGTTGGGGTGGAGGGGGCCACAGAGAGAGTGGACCCTGCAACAATGTGTTGGGCGGAGAACAGGCCCTTGCAATTGATTCAGATTCACCACCTTGGAAATACACCTGTGTTTAACACTTTCCTGCCATATTATTATTCTAAGTTGCCAGCCACCGCCAGCATTTTGATTATATTCACTAATCTTTCAAGACCCACAGAATAATTTGTTCTATTAATATGTGAACAGTATGTACATGAAACTAAGGAAGAGACCCTCTGTTTTTAAACACACAAAAACATTTTATTCTGTCTTATTCCATTCCTTTTTTATCAACATTGAATTTGTGTATTTTCATAAAACAAAAACCATTTTTGTCAAAGACAGTCATTTTAAGTTTAAAATCAATTTTACATTTACATTTTTCATTACGTTTCCTTACGTCAGTTTGAATTTTATAAATTATAATGATAATTATGCTAATAATTTGCTTTATATGTCCTCAAAAAGGCAAACCTATCTCCATCATGGTTTCAATATATTTTTTTAAATTTTCAAACAGTCGTAATTTGCATCAACATGATATACTTATTCTGCAGTAATTATAAAATAATATAAATAAACTAAAAAAGATTCAATTTAATCAATAATATATTATTTACTTTGGAATTTTTTGTCATATACTGATATGCAATAATATTTTCTGGGTAATATGTACATTGATGTTGATGTCCAGTGTCAACATTTGATCATGTGACAAGACAAGACGATATACAGTCAGGGTGGACAATATGGCCCTAAAATAATATCACATTATTTGGAGTATTTTTCCAATAACGATAGTCTTGACAATATGACAAATTAATAAATTAATAATAATTTACTATAACGTTTAAGAAAATAAAATTGCAACAAAATAAATGATACAGTTTTACAGTTTGTCTTCAAATATTCAGTAAAAACTAAACAAAAACGATCTCTCATTTCTTTAGTTTGTGAACAACAACAGTAAGTCAGAGTGAGATTCAGATTCTGTAGACAATATTAATAGTTCATAAAGAAGATCTAACACAAATTACACAATTAAACAGCTCCCAATACAAAAAAGTACCCTGGGATCTATATATAAATCAACAGGTGATTTCCTTCTCTTTTAGCAAAATCTTAATTGATTGAGTTGTTTTTTTTTTTTTTCCACCTGGACCTTAATGCTCTGCCATTTCTCCTCTAATCATCACACTGTAACCTGTGACAGGTTATTATGATACCAGAACTTTCACACATTCACATATATGTAGTTATTTGTCGGGGCCGTGAGTGTCACGTAGGTTTACATTACCAAAGATTTATGACAAAATGACTTGGTGACACCGACTCCTGTGTGCGCACGGAGAGAGAGGAAAGAGAGAGAGGCGCTGTGCTGCTGCCAGAGGAGCCGCTGAATGAGTTCTGTGTGAGCAGTAACTCACTGAAAGAGCCTGAGAAGTCCGGGCTGTTCATAAAACATTCAGGACGCCACAGTTTATTCCACACAGCTGCTCCTCTTTTTGAAACCACCGCAGAGTCGATAATAATTTTGCTTTCAGCCATTGTTGTTGTTCCGTGGGCAACAGTATGATGTCAATATGTCAACAAGTCAAAATATTAAAATTGAAATATTGCCCATCAGAATAACGTACACTGGGGCCTGTCATAACTACCTTAGGCCACTGGTGGAGGAGGTATTCAGATCCTTTACTTAAGTAAAAGTACTAATACAACACCATAAAAACACTCTGTTACAAGTCCTGCATCAAAAATGTTACTTACCTAAAAGTATGCAAATACACCAGGAAAATGTATTCAAATATTAAAAGTAAAATTATTGAAGGCAGAGAATTTTAAATCAGTTTAATAGATTAATTTAGGCTAATTAAAATAATTAAAAAGAAAAGCAGTAAGTCTCATACTTGAGAAGCTGCAACCATGAAATGTTTTTGCATGAAAAATGACAATTATCCAAATACTTGCCCATGAATTTTCTCGTCAACTGACTAATCGTTTCAGCTGCACTTGTAGATTTTCATAACATTCCTGTGCAAAAATCTTCATTTGTAAAGTGACTAGTGACTAAAGCTGTCAAATAATTGTAGTGCAGTAAAAAGTACATGAGATGAAAACATTACTGTAAAGTAAAAATACATTAAATTTGTACTTTAGTACTGCGCTTGAGTAAATGTACGTAGTTACATTTTACCACTGCTGAAAAGCCAAAGGTTTTATTTTATTGGAAATATTTTAAAATTATCTCCATTTATAAAAAGGCTCTTGGCAAAATCTGAAGTGTTAGATATGGATCTGTTTCCACTGTGAGACATTTCCAAAATTACTTTACATTACAGTGGCAGCTAAATCCCCATTACCACACAGTGTTACAAGCATTATTGAAAGATAATACAAGTAGTGTAAGTGTATTTTGTTTTGTTTTGTTTTTAATTAAATCGGAAAAAAAAAAAAAAAAGATTCAAATGTGGGAAACAGCTTGAGTTGAAATTACTGTGAGACAGAAGGTAAATGATCTCATGAAGCAGCCTCTCCTCAGTGTGAATTCCTTTTTATGGGTGGTAAAAATAGAACTGTTAAAAAGAGCATGCACATTTGTAATTATCTGGTTTTAGAGTTCCCCCTTGAGTTGGTTAGTTGTGTTATGGTGCAGACTGGCATACATTAGTTAGGCTCCCTCATATATCTCCAGCCTTATTTCCCCACATACTCCATCATGCCCTTTATGTTCCCTTGATGCCGGTTACTTAACCATTCCTCGATTTAATCAGAACTCATGGGGTTGTTGAGCCTTTGCCCAGCAAGCCCCGCTTCTCTTGAATCATCTCTCACTGCACATTAGGAAGGCAAGTTCTGCTGATACAAATCCAAAGCCGAAACACACATCTTTTTTTCTGTACATTATGATCTCTCCTAATTTCTTCAGCTGGGAACCCAATCACTGACTGGTTTCACCTCATTGATATGTAGGATACCTCAATCCTGTTTCAGTTATACTGTCTGATCTCTGTTTTTTTAAAATGACTAACTTTAACCTTGTTCTTTTACCCAGATTATTACCCATGTATATGTGTGTGTGTTTATTTTTACATGTAATACTAAGCTTGTCTGCTTTTCATGCCTCCACGCTGGCGACAAGCCCGGTTCTAGACAGGCATATATGAGGGGGCAGTCATAAATGTGAAGGGGGCATCATGCTCCAGCACATTTTTGCCATAGGTAGAGCTGACAAATAAAGCTCACTCACTCACTCACTCACTCACTTGCAGGATGTGGGGACGCTGTGTGAGTGCCCTATAGAAGGTGTCACCGTGGTTTCAAATGTGCTCACTGCTTGTTTTGTTGTTGATAACAGTGTTTTCTACATGGAATTGGGTTGTTGTTAGCTGTGTGTCCAACCCCCAACCTAAAGAAATGGATTGCACTTTGTCAGGCCTCTACCCTAAGACCTGTCCAACTTGGGTGTCCCACCTGAAGACTAAGCTCCTGCTGGTATAGCTCTTAGGGTCACTGAGGCACGCAAACCCCCTGACCACAATAAGGTGGCAATCCCTCAGGGAGGAAAACTGAAAAATAAAATGAACAAAAAATAAAATAAAAATTAAGAAAAAATAAAATAAAAATATCCTTCATCAAGGCACAACCAACATCTTAACATTTATCCTAATGGATGGCCATTAGGCATCTAGACATATGAAATAAATTTGAACCTAATAATTACAATAACCTCACTATAGCCAGTATTTACCAAAGCTAGTCTTGTAAAATAAACTTCTCAAACTAACAGAACTAATAAACACAACAGCTATAGGCTAGAGCAGAACATTTTATACTTTTTGTTTTGTTTTGTTTTTTGTCATTTTTTTTGTTGTTGTTTTTTTTTTTGGGGGGGGGGGGGGCGTTGTTAGCAATTTAACAGATTTCTCTTCACTCTACTCTCCTTTGAGCTGCTGAAAGCTGCAGGAGTGAAAAGTTAAGCTTTGTAAAAATCACTGTGATTATCAAAAAACAGCATACAGAACTAGAGGCTGGGTGGGGCTTTATGTAGGGGTCTGGTACACACAGGGCATTTGTCCTCAGTATGTGACATGCAGCAGGTACTCATCTCTCGCTGTGCTTGTGTGACTGAAGAAACGTTCGCACTGACAGGCTCACACTCTATGCTCACTCTGCTATATTTACTTTTGGTTTTTGTTGTTAACTATATATTAAGTATCTCGCGACACGAGACGCTACAACGAGCTGTTTGTCCGTCTATATGGCCGTCCCATTCTTGTGAATGCAGTATCTCAAAAATGCCATAAGAGAATTTTTTCAAATTTGGCACAAACGTCCACTTGGACTCAACAATAGACTGATTAGATCTTGGTGGTCATAGGTCAACCGTCAAGGTCACTGGAACCTCCTCTGTGTAATCATTGTGAATGTGATATCTCAGCAACACCTTGGGAGAATTTTTTTAAATTTGGCACAAACGTCCACTTGGACTGAAGAATGAACTGATTAGATTTTGGTGGTAAAAGGTCAAAGTCACTGTGACCTAGTCTGTCTCATTCTTGTGAAAGCAATATCTCAAAAACATCATGATGCATTTTTTTTTCTAATTTAGCACAAATGTACACTTGAACTCGACAATAAACTGATTAAATTTTGGTGGTCAAAGGTCAAGGTCACTGTGACCTTGCATCTGTCTCATTCTCATGAAAGTGATATCTCAAGAACACCTTGGTGCACTTTTTTCAAATGTGGTACAAACGTCCACTTGGACTCAAGAATGAACTGATTAGATTTTGGTGGTCAAAGGTCATGGTCACTGGTTTTGGCCATAACTCAATAATTCATACGCTAATAACAACACAATTTTACACAAATGTCTATTAGGGTAAAATGATGGAGTGATGACATTATACATCCAAAAGGTCAAAGATTGTGACACTGTGACATCATAATGTTCTGCAAAAACACTTTTTTCTGGCCATTACTCAATTTCAAAACTCGGGAACAGAAGGGGAGACATTTGGTCAGATACTGAACTGGTGACTCTTTTCACCTCGAAACTGGTGATTATTAAGATCTTCTGTGTTGCCAGGAGAGGATGTGTGTGAAGCATCCATGTTTTTGCAGACATGGATGTAAACTTGACTGGTTTTTGCTGACTTTAAGAGGGTGAATAGATGCTGGGTGATGTGTACTTTGTTGGTTACTGTTTCCGAGGATACTCGCCAGCCAGATTGAAAGTAAAAGCCAACCTCAGATTCACTCTTGTTTGGCATTTGGCCTCGCTCTATTTGCATCGTTTTGGCACTGTGGCACCTGCCTTATAAAGCCCCGACCTCACCTGAGTGCTGTAGGGGCACACAGCCATAAACATCCAGAACACAGAAAATAAGATGAAAAAAAGCAAATACAGGCAGAAAAGAGGCAGATTTTTTCAGAAAAATATACTGCCACACACTTCTAGTGGGTTAGTAGTGATGACCTACGGGGATTACTTCTGTATGAGTCCAAACCTTGTTTTTCAAGACAATCCTGCATAGTCTATCTTTAAAAAAGTGAAGTTAACAGAGTGGTCATAGCCTCTTTTGTCCCAGCAGATCTGCTACAGTGGAGCACTATAAGGCAGCCATGTTGCTGAGTGGTGTTGGTGATGCTCTGGGATACAGGAACCAGCTGTGGGAGTACAACGAGTCAGGACCAGCTATCCACCAGGTCAACATGAAAAGATGTGCTGAGTTTGTGATGAAGTTAAACCACTGCTAAAGCTGTATTTAACCTAAGATGTCTGCCCTTGTCTTTTCTGTCCTTGCAGGAGCTGAAGGAGCTTGGTGGTCTCAAGAACATCAAGGCCGAGCTCCCTGACTGGCCGGTGAGCGATGACACAGTTCTGCATCTGGCAACGGCTGAAGGACTGGCAACTGGTGAGGTCAAAATAACACACTCAAGCCATCTGCTCTCTCTTCTGCCCCTCCTTTGCTCATTTTGTTTCAAACAAGGAGTTTATTGGATTGATCTGATTGTCGGCGTCGTTCTGATGAGGCCTCATCAGGCCACGCGCCACACCCTCCTCCTCATAACTAAAGGTTAAATCTAATTTTCCAGCCTCGCCTTGATTTGGTGCTCTATTACAGCTTGGCAGAAGTGGAAGGAAAATGGTAGAAATTCAACTTGACCTTTACTGTGATAAGACAAACAACCAGCCTTGTTAACAGGTCCCTTACATCTTTAAAAAGTTAATAAGGACAGCGTCTGCAGTTTGAACAAGTTAACTCTGTGTTTTCTCTCATAGGGAAGACGGGGGAGGAGCTCATGCATGAGGTGGCAGCTCGATATGTGGAGGGGATGAAAGACATGGACGGGAGGAAACCAGGGCCTTCAAGCATTCTGGGTGAGATGAAGTCTTTATTTTTAAACTGCTGTACAGATGTCATCCTCCTCTCAAATATACTGAGCACTGAGCTTGTGCTGCTCAAAGTGCACTATAAAAACTGTAAAACTCAACAGCAATTTCTCTTTCCATAAATCCTTACCCGCTTACTCAAGAGAATTCACAGACCTGTGAGCAGTTTCATGTAGGAACTGTGACTTTAAATTTTCCACAGGTGTGAAAGTGAGTGTGAATGGTTGTCTGTCTCTGTGTGTCAGCCCTGTGATAGTCTGGTGACCTGTCCCATGCCAGCTGGGATCGGCTCCAGCCCCCCTGAGACTCCTAGCAGGATAAGCCGTCACGGAAAATGAATGAATGAATAAATGAATAATAATGTTGGGACGGCTGAGGCTCAGGAGGTAGAGCAGGCCGTCAACTAATTGGAAGATCAGTGGTTCAATCAGCGGCTCCTCTTGCCCAATTTACCTTGGGCAGTATCTTGCATTACTTGGGCAAGATACTGAACCCCAAATTGCTCCCAATGGCTGTGCCATTGATGTGTGAATGTGTGTGTGTGAATGGGTGAATACGAGTCATTGTGCTTTGAGTAGTTGAAAGACTCAAAAGGCATTATATATGTATAGGTCCATTTACCAATAATTATAATAATAATAATAATATTAAAATTGAAACACCACTGAATTGATGGCATTGAAATATTTTACTTAGAAAGGTCTGTATCTGAATTTATTTGCTGTGAATTCTCTTTGAAATTAAAATATGAAATTTCTTGATTTGCAATTTCAAAAGCAGAATTTGAATATATTTTTTCAGTGTTCACAAATTTAAATCCACAAATCCAGGTTTTCGAATTTAAAAAAAAACAAAAAATGTTTTTACTAGAATTTTTGGACCTGAATTTGACAAATCACATTTAAGCAACCTTGATCTATTTTTTTTTTTTAAATCTGGAGCTTAATTTTTTTGGTTATGAATTTGTTAATATTGACAAAAATATATAGCTTTTTAAATTGCAAATCAGATTTCATATTTCAGTTTCAAAGAGGAGAATTCAGAACAAATAGGTTACGATACATGGTTTCAAAATAAAATATTTCAGTGCTACGAATCCAGTGGTGTTTAAATTTCATTACTAAGTATTCAGTGGCTGTTAAGATAAAATTAGTGTCTCTTTTTGCTTCGATAGTTTTGGACTTTTATTCACAAGCAAACTGCGTTTTAGGTCACTAAAATGAACCTTTTCTAAAACTATGTCCAGGGTGAAGATTTTCAGAAAACACTGTTTACACGTCAGTGTTGATGTGTAAACAGGGAAAAGGTAGAGAGAGTTTTTGACCTGAGATTTCAGAGTGCACTGTTATCTCCTTGTGGGATGTCACAAATGAGGCAACAGTTTGTGCAGTGGTGGAGCATGCCAAAACAGTGCTGTTCTATCCTTACTAACAGAAATTTTCATATGAACATGAATATACAGCTACCCCTCCATTATCTTGAGGGACAGGGGCTTCTGAAGACAATATTGGCTTCACTGTTGCAGGTAGCCTTTCACTCATGGTTTATTTTAGGGGTTTTGATTGGCAAACATCTGCTCTTGACCTCACTTAATTTTTTTTAGAATGAGGGAGGAAAAACATTGTTTTCAAAACTACCTGCATATGTGTGGGCAAGGCCTTATGCTGTCTTTACTGTGTTTACAAGAAGAATCCATATGAACGCCCAATTGTAGTATTCACAACCTCGGAAGTTTCAGATTTGCAAGTTTTGACATGGTCTCTGAAGTTTTCGGAAATGGTGGAGGCTGTGGAAGTTAATTTTCCAGTGGATGGTTAGTTAATATATTGTAATTTAAGTCCTTTAGTGTTATCCTTTTTAGTCTTATTAATTGTCGAAGAAAAATGTTGACATTACCAACGGTCTCATCTTTTTCCTCCATCATTATACCTTTGCATTACCTGCATTACGTTACTAGCTCATCAGCTTGCTAAATTGTTGGCCTTGGTGGCTTCTAGATGCCGTTGACTTAACCACTTGAATGCCAAGATTATCGTACACATGACTTACCATGTTGGGACCACGAGCTCATGGGCAATACTCTCATTTGCTCTTTTAGGAGTCTCCCAGCTGAGGCCTGGAGAGGAAGGGGGCTACAGAGTGTCCTATAATCCAGAGGGGACAGGCTGTGGAGCAGCCATGAGGTCCATGTGTATTGGCCTCAGGTAAGATGTTTGTCCTGAAAATAAAAACATAATAACTCAGTCTAATCCTTTTGTATTCCAGCCTGAGCCATCCATGGGTTTGGTTATTAATTTTTAATTGTCAATTACCTTGCAGTATTGCTTTCCTGAGGAGGTACAGGGCAACATAATGACAAACTGAGGGCAAAGTAGAGAAAAGGAAATATGTTACAAATTGATTTCGAGCTGAGTGGCACTGTGTTATCAATTCATATCTCTAAATGGCAGATGTTCCAGCAAATCAAGTCACCTCCCTGTTGTGCTAGAACTTACTTTCATTTGTTTCTTGAAATGCGTAGGTTTTTGTTGGTAACACACCTGGTGTTTGCAGTAATCTGCAGTGATATTTTATTTATATAGTGCATTATTTTACAAGTAAACTCAATGTGCTTTGCATGAAAATGCATTTGAAAGACACCCATCCACCCAGAGACAGTCAGGAACTAAGAATCACCCCTCAGACACATACATACAGTATCTACATTTCAGTCAGGTCCACTTTAGTCAAAGAAAACTTTATTCCCATTTGCAGTATTATATTTGTATCATATTTACATTGCTATGTTTTGGGGCCTCTCTGCTTTTCCTAGGCCTACACAGAAAGCCTCTGCCATGTGCCTGCATGGAAAGCCTAAGGCGGAGAGAGCACACCTCTCCGCCCTTCCATGCGCAAACAAGGAAAGCCTGAGGCAGGGAGAGCAAACCTCCCTGCCCCTCCATGTGCCTACAGGGCCAGCATCAATGACAAACAGAAATGACATTGATGAGTCAGACAACATGAAAAGGAGAAGCTGGGGTGGAGGCAGATTGCAAAGCTTGCAGATGAAGCAGCAACACACTTGTCCTTAAAACAAGTGTTTTTGATCAAGTTTTCAAGTCATCATCTTCATTTGGATGATGAGGCTCAATAAAGTGAAAATAAGAAGGCGAGGTGGTGTTTGTAAAAAAGCACCGTGCAGCTTGGTGTGGTTATCTGAGGACACGAAGAACACGTGACATTGAACATTTCACATCTAAATTCACAGTTGAGGCACGAAGCTGCTGCTCTTATCCTAAGTAATTTATAATAAATGCACTGGTGGAATATGTTTACATTCTCTGATCACTGAGCAGAAAATAACAAATAAGAGTTCAGGGTAAAAACATCAACCAGAACCAGAGAGCGACATGGTGTGGAGTCAATTAGAGCATGAAAAGAAGTAATTACTATAAACAGAACTTGTATCCAAATATAATATAATGCAGGAAACATATTTCTCAGCTGTTTAATGGATCTCATTAGGTTTATGCAGAAACCTTCAGCTACATCTCCATAATAATAACTGCTGATAAGGACTTTAATACTTTGTCCCCGCCAGGTATCCAAAGCCTGACCAGCTGTTGTCATTGGTGGCGGTTGCCGTGGAGACAGGCAGAATGACCCATCCTCACCCCACTGGTTTTCTGGGAGCCGTCGCATCGGCCCTTTTTACTGCGTACGCCGTCCAGCGCAGGCCAATCACGACTTGGGGTCTAGGCCTGATTAATGAAGCCTGTCCAATAGCAAAGAACTTTGTTCAGAGTCGAGGCTACGCCGTGGAGGAGACGGAGAGAGACTGGAACTACTTCTGTGACAAGTGGCAGTGGTAAGAGTTGCTGGAGTGAGCCTTTGTTAGGCTGCCATGCTTTATTAAAATTAGGTTTTCAACATGAACGACTTAATATGAACCTATTACGTCTCAAGTTTAATAGATGTTGACATGGGATTTGTACTGAAATGTCACAGGTTTGGTTCAATTCAGAAGCACTGAGCTCTTGAAAATGTCTCACCTTTGTTTACAGGTACCTAGATTTGAGGGGACTCTCTCATGGGGTGGGGCCTGTGATTTGGCCCTCCTCCTACGGCCCAGCTGAGAGAGATGAAGTCTACAAGACCTTCAGCCTGTCAGGCTGGGCGGGACGCAGCGGCCACGACGCTCCAATGATAGCACTGGATGCCCTGCTGGGGGCGGGTTCGGACTGGGAGGAACTGATGAGCAGAGCAGGCTTCCATGGAGGTCAGAGATTCAAACAACAAAATGTCTTTTTGGATGGTCTTATCAATCTCATAGGCTGAAGAACAGTATTGCCCCAACTTTAATACTACCAAACCTTTACAGAATCTCAAACATCTCCAGTTTTAGCTTAATGGTTTTGAGTTTTCAATTTAAAACCCACACTTAACCATCCCAGGCCTTTCTAAATGTAACCTTTTAGAATAAAGCCTGGTCTTTTACCTAAACACAGCCTTCTGGTTTAACTTGAATCACAGTAAAAATCATAAAGTCATAATTTCTCATCATTTAGCATTTTTCCAAACTCTCCTCTTGGTTTAAAGGGAGATGTTTTTTATCTGAAGTCTGAATTCCTGCTAAGACAGGCCATATGTACTGATGGTCTAAACTGTAATTAATCCTCATTTGTCATTGTCTTGAGAACAGAAACAGCTTTGTGGAAGCGCTACAAATGAATTGTAAAGGAAACTTCTTTCATACATAAGTTAGTAAGCAGGTAGTCTTTACCACAAAGGCCGACATGAAAAAAAGTCATAGTGTGATATGTCATAAAATTTTATATAAGACATAATACAGTATGTTATTAAAAAGGTCATATGGAGAGTCATAGTACAATATGTTATTAAAAACACCAGTAAGTCATAGTATAGTATGTCATCAAAAATAAAATAAAAAAAGTCATTGTATGGTATGTCGTCAAAAATTTCATAAAAAAGTCATAATATAACATGTCGTCAAAAATATCACAAAAAAGTCATAGTATAGTATGTCACCAAAAATATCACCAGTGTCATAGTATAGCATGTTGTCAAAAATATCACAAAAATGTCATAGTATAGCATGTCATTCAAAACTGCATAAAAAAGTCATAGTATAGCATGTCGTTCAAAACTGCATAAAAAAAGTCATAGTATAGCATTTTGTTCAAAATTGCATTAAAAAGTCATATTCAATTCAATTCAATTCAATTCAATTCAAATCACTTTATTTATGCCCAAGGTGCAATTTAAAAGGGCATGACAGTAACTATAAAACACAATCAGCAACACAAAATCAGCACATACACTGCAACATACAACATTCACAGTTAACAAGAGTATAATGATTTATAAAGTGCATGGATTGAAATGTGTTCAAAATTCATTCAAAACTGCATAAAAAGTCATAGTATAGCATATCATTAAAAACTGCATAAAAACGTCATAGTATAGCATATCATTAAAAACTGCATAAAAGCGTCATAGTATAGCATGTCTATAAAAACTGCATAAAAAAGTCATAGTATAACATGTTGTTCAAAACTGCATAAAAACGTCATACTAGTATGTCGTTAAAAACTGCATAAAAAAGTCATAGTATAGTAGGTCGTTCAAAACTGCATAAAAAAGTCATAGTATAGCATGCCGTTCAAAACTGCATAAAAAAGTCATAGTATAGTAGGTGGTTCAAAACTGCATAAAAAAGTCATAGTATAGCATGTCTTTAACAACTGCATAAAAAGTCATAGTATAGCATGTCGTTGAAAATATCACAAAAAAGTCATAGTATAGCATGTCATTAAAAACTGCATAAAAAAGTCATAGTATAGTAGGTCGTTAAGAACTGTATAAAAAAGTCATAGTATAGCATGTTGTTAAAACTGCATAAAAAAGTCATAGTATAGTAGGTCGTTCAAAACTGCATAAAAAAGTCATAGTATAGTAGGTCGTTCAAAACTGCATAAAAACGTCATAGTATAGCATGCCGTTCAAAACTGCATAAAAAAGTCATAGTATAGTAGGTGGTTCAAAACTGCATAAAAAAGTCATAGTATAGCATGTCTTTAACAACTGCATAAAAAGTCATAGTATAGCATGTCGTTGAAAATATCACAAAAAAGTCATAGTATAGCATGTCATTAAAAACTGCATAAAAAAGTCATAGTATAGTAGGTCGTTAAGAACTGTATAAAAAAGTCATAGTATAGCATGTTGTTAAAACTGCATAAAAAAGTCATAGTATAGTAGGTCGTTCAAAACTGCATAAAAAAGTCATAGTATAGTAGGTCGTTCAAAACTGCATGAAAACGTCATAGTATAGCATGCCGTTCAAAACTGCATAAAAAAGTCATAGTATAGTAGGTGGTTCAAAACTGCATAAAAAAGTCATAGTATAGCATGTCTTTAACAACTGCATAAAAAGTCATAGTATAGCATGTCGTTGAAAATATCACAAAAAAGTCATAGTATAGCATGTCATTAAAAACTGCATAAAAAAGTCATAGTATAGTAGGTCGTTAAGAACTGTATAAAAAAGTCATAGTATAGCATGTTGTTAAAACTGCATAAAAAAGTCATAGTATAGTAGGTCGTTCAAAACTGCATAAAAAAGTCATAGTATAGTAGGTCGTTCAAAACTGCATGAAAACGTCATAGTATAGCATGCCGTTCAAAACTGCATAAAAAAGTCATAGTATAGCATGTCGTTGAAAATATCACAAAAAAGTCATAGTATAGCATGTCTTTAACAACTGCATAAAAGTCATAGTATAGCATGTCGTTGAAAATATCACAAAAAAGTCATAGTATAGCATGTCTTTAACAACTGCATAAAAAAGTCATAGTATAGCATGTCATTAAAAACTGCATAAAAAAGTCATAGTATAGTAGGTCGTTAAGAACTGCATAAAAAAAGTCATAGTATAGCATGTTGTTAAAACTGCATAAAAAAGTCATAGTATAGTATGTCGTTCAAAACTGCATAAAAAAAGTCATAGTATAGCATGTTGTTAAAACTGTATAAAAAAGTCATAGTATAGTATGTCGTTCAAAACTGCATAAAAAAAGTCATAGTATAGTATGTCGTTAAAAACTGCATTGAAAAAGTCATAGTATAGCATGTCATTCAAAACTGCATAAAAAAAGTCATAGTATAGCATGTCGTTCAAAACTGCATAAAAAGTCATAGTATAGTATGTCGTTGAAAATATCACAAAAAAGTCATAGTTTAGCATGTTGTCAAAAATGTCACAAAAAAAGTCATAGTACAGTATGTTGTTAAAAAAAATTATGAAAATGTCGTATAACATGTGGACAAAACTATCACAAAAAAGTCATAGTATAGTATGTTGTCAAAAATGTCACAAAAAAGTCATAGTATAGTATGTTAAAAAAAATTACGAAAATGTTATAGTATAGCATGTGGACAAAAATATCACAAAAAAGTCATAGTATAGTATGTCGTTCAAAATTGCATAAAAAAAGTCAGTATAGCATATTGTCAGAATGTCACAAAAGTCAGCACATCGACAAAAATGTCTTAAAAAAGTCACAGTATAGTATGTCGTCAAGAATATTATGAAAAAGTCATAGTATATAATATGTCATTCAAAATGGCATGAAAAAGTCATAGTATAGTATGGTGTCAAAAATGTCACAAAAAAGTCATAGTATGCCATATAAATGCCATAATATAGTAAGTAATAAAAAAAAAGTCATAAAAAGTGAGAGCATAGCATAGCATGTCATGAAAACTGTACTAAAAAAGTCACTTAATTGGACAGTCCATCTACAGACATTTTTTTAAGTATTTGTAATATTTCAATAGCTTGTTAGTTGAGATTCAAAGATTCAACTGTTCCGCATTCATCTGTAAATCTGTAAACAGATTATTTAGGTTATTTGTAATAATTCATGAACTGAAGTGTATATTCTTAGAATAATTTAGTTGAACTTTTTACTCAACCTCTGAAGCACAGGTCGCTAACCAAAATGTGATATAAAAAGTCACAGCATGTCCTTGAAGTCATACTGTAATGTGTCACAAAAAATGTAATAACAAGTGTGTTGTAAAGTCATATGGTTTGCCACTGATACATTTTACATCATCTCAACATCCAACAAAAAAACAATTTGTCAGATTTCCTGTTAAACTTCCTAAAGCAATAATGTGTGACACAGTATGTGAAGTTGTCTGCTTCCTTTTCTTCCTGTCCAGGTGACAGTGACAGCACAGCTGTGATTGCCTGCTGCTGCTGGGGTCTCCTCTACGGCACCCAGGGGGTCCCTGAAGGCAACTACTCCAACCTTGAGTACCGGGACCGACTGGAACGCAGCGCCGAGCAACTCTACACCCTGTCACACTGAGTAGGCCGCCACAGCCTGCTGCACTGACCGAGTGTGTTTCCCCTCAGTTCCCCAACTGAGGGGAAACTAGGCCGCATACTCTGACACATTGACGTAGAGCTAGTTGGCGCGCTCGGTAGTACATTGATTTAGGGGCCTGTCACTGAGCCGCAAAGTGTGGTGTCATACATGCCTGAAGGGGAAGCAGAGTGGCCCACTAACCCAAAGAAGAGTCATCTCTGCCTTAACAAGGACTGTGTGCTGTATAATGAGGGGTCCCCCTAGTGAGCATTTTAAATTAACATGCAGAATTGCACCACCGAGTGGAACGAATCCGAGCTAATGAGAATGTGAAGAGAATACAAAGTCCCCTGGGAGGTAATTACTTTGTTTCGTCAGCCTGACATAATAGCAAATGCTTATCGAACTTCAAATTAAATGTGCTCTTGTTATTGTCTAATGAAAAATAAATGTCTGCGTCTCATTATAGCTCTTAGCTTACTACAAAACTGTTAACTGTAATACTCAATTAATAGTACAATAAATAAAACAAACAAACCTTTTAAGTTGAGTTGAAAACTTTATTTTTTGGTCATTGTTGTTTTATTATTTTTTTTGTCTTGTCCATTTTTTTATTAATTATATTTTCCTACAGGAGAGAAGAAGCAAAGGGGTGGTTTTAACTACTGGATTGAGTTAAAAGAAAAAAGAAAGGGGGGGGGGGGGGGATGATTTGCTAAAAATCCCCTCTCCTCTTTAAATCCGTCCTTTCATGCTGTATTCATGAGAATCCCGTGACAGTCTGTGTTTCCCATTTGTGTCATGGTACTTAAAACACACTGCTGGAGGTGTCTGCTGCTGTTTGTCATCCGTGTTTTTTCCTCTCCGACTGGTCCGCCCAGCAAGGTGCCTCATGTCTCTGAAATAGGAGGAAGTTGGAGAGAAGAGCAGGATGGCAGCAGGGGGTCGGGCGCGGCTCGTCTGCCACCTTCATCATTAGCACTGAAAAGGTCCTCCTCGTCTGGGGCTGACACTGAGGTTTGTACTGATGAACATTCCAGCAGAAAAATAAGGTGCTGTGAGACTTTTTGTCCTCTTCTCTCCTCTGCACGATCCTGTCAGTTTGTTTACTAATGAGTCGCGTTCAGTCTGGGCCTCGCGTCCAGCAGGCAGTGGGGGATGTTGGGGCTCATTCCTAAGAACAGTTGGGAAGGTGGGGAGGAGGGCGGGTGGGGTTTAGTTTCCAGGCTGATGGAAGGGAGCAGGATGCGTCTGTACCTGCATTGCTGTTGGAGGTAAACAGATAAAACAAACTGTAAATGTCATGCTTCAAACAACGGATAGAGAATCGGGATGAATTATACTCGGCTTTATGGCTCGTACCTTGTGGATGTCCTATGTAAAAGTGTTGGTGTGCTCCTTGCTGTGGTCCATGCTGGGGGTGCTGAGGCACTGAGCCGGGGCCCTGCTGAGGAGGTGGCTGCAACATCACTAACTGAGGCTGACCGTGGCTCCCCGAGTGGTGGGGACCCGACATCGCTCCTTGTACATGGGCCTAGCGGGGTGAAGGAGGTGGCAAATCAAAATTGAGAATACAAAGTTGTGTTTTATTAACTCGTCTCGTCATTTGGTCTGACCTGGGCTTTAAACAAGTGATGCATGAGAAGGAACAGTAACCACAAGCACTGTGGATCCATACCTGTGCTATCTGTCCCAGGGGGTACGTTGGTGGGATGCCCTGGTGGCTGTGGATGCTGTAGCCCTGAATGGGATAAGAGCCTTGTGGAGACGTGTGGCCTGGCGGCATGTTGGGTGGAGTGGGTGCTGACAGGGGACCTGAGTGGTACAAGGACTGGGGCTGTGGGCCGGACTGGGCGTTCTGAAAGGAAAGAACACAGCGTCAGAAGATTCATCACAATAACAGTGTCCCAGGGGCGGGAATCTGCTCCATTAGATTGAACAGTACAACAAATTCAATGTGTCTGTAGGTTTATAGGATTGTATTGTGAAAACTGACAATAATGTTGAAATGATATGGAAATGTACGTTGCTTATTTTGTTTGAAAGATGTAGGGTGAGGCTATAGGATGCAGTTTAGCCATCATGAGGAGACTTAAGTAACTGGACCTCTTTGAATTTTAACTAAAAACCCTTGTACACATTTCAATAGTATAGTATCAATATGGTTGAGGCTTTGTCTGTACGAATGTAATTCATTTAGAAATTTGGACACAGCAAATGTGTTTTGGTACATTTGGGAAATTCAAGCAGTCCTGTATCTCACCTGTCCGGGACTAGGTGCAGTGTGCTGGGGAGGGGGCTGGTTGCCTGTCGGGGTACTGGAGGGCTGGGGCTGATGAACTGCACCTGAGTGGTGTGAGAAGGACTGTGGAGCTGCACAGGAGAAAGAGAGAATCAGTGTCAGGTTAATGCTTTACATCGTTTTACAGTCCATAGTGAGACTCCTCATGGATGTTTTCAAGGTTTTTAATCAGGCCACTTCAAGACCATCCATGAATCAAAAAACACTGATACCATATGGGAGCAGTTTAACCTAAAATATGGCACGTTTGGGTCCACTCACCGTAGATGCCTTGCTGTGGTCCCTGAGGTCCGTCTCCCTGTGCAGAGAACTGGGGGCCTCCTGGGGGTCCCAGTGCTTGTGGGTGAGGACCCCCACCTTGACCTATCATTCTTCCACCTTGCAACATGGAGTACATCTGCTGGAGAGAAGAGGGGAAACAGTGTACTTGTTTTATACGTAGGAGGTAAGATATACCTGGAGGCTGTGTGGCTGAACCACTTATGTTTAATTTAATGCTACCACAAACATTATGCTAATTAAAACCTTATTAAAAAACGGGGTTAGAGGGTAGCCATCCTACCTGTCCAGGGTAGGGTGTCATGGCCTGTATGACCTGCTGCTGGCCGTACTGCTGTGGATTGTACTGAAGGTAGGACTGAGGGTAGGGGGACGCCACCAGCGGGGCTCCGGCTGCTGACGCTGCAGCTTGTAGCATGGGTGGTGCTGAAGTACCATGGTCAGAGCGCTGAGCCACTACTGAGCCTGGTGGAGGCAAAGAATTATCATCTTATAGGCATAGACACATCTATAGCAAGAGGCTAATTTTAAAGTGTTATTCTGTTAAGCAGATGTCACTGCACTGTTGTGTCGCAGGTTATAGCAATTTATAATTAAAACCACAGACATAAGGCACTGCGGAAAGAAATGCTGCTTTTACCTTTGGTCCTGGGGTATTTTCCCTGGCTGACTGTAGACATGGTGTACTGGTACATCGGTGGGGGCTGGAAGACAGAAATGATCAAGAGTCAACTCAAGAAAAAGCTTCCATGTCTTAAAATGACACTGGTAGTAAACATGTAAGAGTTAATTTGCTCACATACCTGCACAGAGTGGATCTGTGATACGTAGGAGAGGTAGGGGGCGTTGTAGAGTGGTCCCTGTCCGCCTGGGTGTTGAAGGACCACTGGGCTTGGAGGAGTTGGCCGAGGTGGGGTGGGCGCAGTGTTGGGCTTCGTCTGTACGACAACAGAACCAGAGGTCAATAAAAATGCATGTCACTTAGCTAATCACAGGGTTTAAACACATTATGTTCTACATATTTTACAGTAAGTGAAATAACAACATAGTGCCAACAGGTCTTTGACAGTGCTGGAAATTAACATTTTTGTCCACCTGCCACTGTGGCCGATGGATTCCAAAATCTAGCAGCCACTCAACAGATTACTGTTGTTTTATTGGCTGGTGAGTTAACAAAAGCTAGCAGCCCCAGCATTTGGCTGCCGGCTGGTGCTTATTTCCAACCCTGGTCTTCTACTATAAAATAGATGCTGCAATAAATATTCAGAGCAAATGACAGTATTTTTCATACTTTTTTTTACACTTTGGTGCATAGTTTATGTCATGGACTCCACTTAAATTCATTCCCTGAATACTAAACTGCTCTTTATATACAGCACCACCCTCGTCTCAGCCAAGATAATACATATTTTTTTACATTTTAAGGATTCAGCAGGAATAAATGAGCTTACCATGGGCATTTGAGGTTTGATGGGGTTGAACTCTTTAGCGTTGGGGTTTAAGGTTGATTTCTTTACTTGGCTAAAAGATATGAAAAAATAATGTGTTAGCAAAAGACACACCACAAGGACATAAGAGAGCATGATCAAACAGTTTACAATCTCTTTTTGGAACTCACTCTGCCACGCCCTCTGGCCGCTCTGTCGTCTCAGACCTGGCGTCCTCGCTTCCCGGGGTCCTGGCTGGCTGCGGGGTGGCTGGTGAATGCCTGTCTGAAATGGGTGCAGCGGCGGTGCTTGGTGTGGCACCAGGTGTAGTTGCGGTGTCCTTGGTGGCGTCCTCAGCAGGGGCTGGTGAAGGCTGAGGTTGGGGCTGGGAAGGACTGGGAGCTGGAGCCTGAGCTTTGGGCTCTGAAGCAGGGTGAGCGTCTGAGGGCGAAGGTGTGGCTGCACTGGGTTGGGCGACCTCGTTGACGGCAGGTGGGGTTGCTGCTGCTGGGGAGCTGGGAGAGCTGGAGCTGCCTCCACTTGGCTGGAGCTGGGAAAAAAAGTGGAAGACAAGGATTGAGTAGACGGAAGAGAGGTAAATAAGTATGGAGGGGATGGCAAAAAAGAGGAAAGTCATGAAGAGTTACTAAACATAAAAGTAAGCAGGGAACATGTGCAACAAATATGAGCTACAACACATTAGCAAATTTGTAGCAGGGTTTTTCGTGACTCTGACGGGGGTCTTCATGGATAATACTTGACTAGCAAGCCTTACACTAGATTTCTGTCATTTATGACTGCAATTGCAGCATTATGCCACTGTGGTGGCGCTGTATCTTAACCAGCAAAGTACACCGAAAAAGGTGCAGCTGAAACTGCCAAAGCGGAAGAAAAGACGCGTCTGTTTTGCAAATCAGGGGCCAGCCCTATAAATGCCCAAGTATGTCTCTCACTGACTGATGACGCTACACCACTGGTTGGTACAGTGTTGGTGTTTCCCCACTTGTTACTGCATGTGCCACAGTATTTCCACTGATAACATCTTTGCCACCACACACTCCAACACACTCACACCCACTCAAAAAACATCACCACAGCAAACAAACATCCTGCGATCATGTGGAACACGGAAAGTCGATGAGGTCTTGATTAGTCTCCTTTTCCCTGCAGTTCAAAATTTTAATATAGTTTTATATCATCTGGTGGCATTTGAATGCTGTTGCAAACAGCAGGTGTGATTTATAAACATGGCTCTGTGTGCCTCAATCTGTGTGTCTGAACACTGCCTTGTACTGCGACTACGACACCAGAGTGCGTCTGTTTACACCAGTAAAATGTGAGGAAATTAAGTTTTTTTTTAATTTTTATTTAATTTTCCTATTGAATTAACTTTTTCTCCCACTTTATCAAAAGCTCAAGCAGACATCTGTAAAGCATGATACTAGTTCACTGCAATACATACAGATACTGATAAAAGCAAATAATCTAAAATAGGAATGATGATGATGATGAGTTATGAATAAAAAGATAGGCCTTA